CATATTAAAAGTATTTTTTATCATAAACATATATAAAAAAATAAAAAATTGATATTAGTTTTAATTTTGATGCTAAATGAATAAATTTAATTGAATAATTGAAAAATTAAAAGTTAATTTTTATTTTTTAATACAAATTTATTATAAAAAATGTATTTATTGTATTTTTAATTTGTACATTTAAAATATAAATTTGACAAATTTATAAATAAAAAGAATTAATTATTTAAATGACATATAAAATTGTATAAAAAAACAATATAAAAAATTTATTCCTAAATAATTTTTTTTTTTCATCTAAGTGGAAAAATCAAATATCAAGTCCCTTGCCACGTAGGACTGAGATGCGCCACACCAGACAGTCCTCCAAACAGCAGTTAACGGCAATTAGCAGCAGCAATTAAGTTGGCTGTGAGAGTAAGGGCTAAATTGCTTTTATTGCAGAGTTCAGGGGCTTAAATGCTTCAATTAGAGTCTGGGGGCTTAATAGCGATTCTGGGGTCAGTTCAGGGGCTTAACTTATGGTTTTGCCAAAGCAAAAAGAACAAAATGGGAATGAGGAAAGGAGTTGTTGAAAAGCAAAAAGAAAAAGAGAAAGTACGTGATGGGAAAGGGCAACGGAGTCGTTGAAAACCGCGTTTAAAAATTGTTTCCCGATTGTCCGAAAATATATTTTTAAAATTTAACTTTGAATTTAAATTGCACCTATAATTATCTGCATCCAACATTTGCATCACAATATCGCAAACACAAAAAGGCACTCTGATGAAGATGGAAGCATCTCTTCTTAGCACAGCCATGCTTTCCATTGTTGCTATCGGTTTCCTGGTGTGCTCATGGGGAGTGCTGAACTGGGTATGGCTGAGACCGAAGAGACTCGAGAGGTTGCTCCGGCAGCAAGGTTTTTTAGGCACTCCCTATCGACTCTTAATCGGAGACATGAAAGAGAACCACCAGATGACTAAAAGAGCAGAATCCAAACCCACCAGCCTTACCGACAATATTGCTCCACACGTCATCCCCTTCATCCATCAAACGGTGCAGAAATACGGTAATGTTAAAAATAAATAAACAGCGTATGCTGTTCTTTTTCTGTATCCAACCATAAAATTTAGGTTTTTAGATAAATGAACTCCTTAATCTCACTTGAAAGCCTAAATTTCGAAATCCGATATTGTTGAACTACAGTCATGATTTAGTTCTCATATATATATATATATATATATATATAAATGATGCAGGGAAGAACTGTTATACGTGGCTTGGGCCGAGACCGAGGGTGGTAATATCGGAGATGGAGCTTGTGAGAGATATTTTTAATAAGTTCAACGATTTCCAGAAGCCAAGTACAAATCCCCTAGTTAGGCTGCTCCTAGTTGGACTCGTAAGCAAAGAGGGGAAAACATGGGCTAAGCACAGAAGGATTATTAACCCAGCATTCAATCTTGACCGATTGAAGGTTTGTTTTTCTTTTTCTCTTTATTTTTGTTTTGTTTTCATTTTATCTATTCCATATTAAGTTATATGATAAGCCACTTATAATCTCTTGATTTCTTTCGATCCGTCCCAAATTTAAATCTAAAATTCGTAATTTGAAAATCTCTTGCATGCTTAATTATTTTGTGATGTGGTATGCGATTAATCTCTTTTCTTGTTTGTAGTAGGAATAGTGATAATAACAACAATAATAATGAAAATAATATTTCCTTTGATTTAATTTGTTTTTTTTTTGTTTTAAAATAACTATTTTTTTAATTTTAAATTTGTTTTAAATTAATTATTATTGTTTTATTTTTTAAGATAATTAAATACTATTTTTTTCTTACTTTAACACTATCATTATTCATTCACTTTAATTAATTATTCAATTACAAAAAAATTACTCTTTATCTTTTATTTTTTTTAAAGACATTATAGATAAATACAATTATTGTCGTCGAATTTCTTATTTGGGAAAAAGTTAAAAAAAACCACAATTATTTTGAGATAAGTTATCAAATTTTCTAAATAGGATTAGTCCATAATTTTGAAAACTAGACAGGATCGGTCAATCA